AATGAAGAAAACACGGACACAGAAAATGCCAAAACCAACAGGGATTTTTTGTTCCCCTCCAGGCCTTTGAGCAATTAGGATCTTTTGAATCTGACTGAAGTTAAATCAGCTGGCGTGGCCTGTGGACCTTGGAGGTCAAAGGCAGGTGATCCAGTTTTGTCATGAGGATTTTTGTGGATACTCATTCCTAAGGGATTACAAATTTCCTCAGAGGCTCTTATTTATGCAATGGTAAAATATAGAATTGCTTCTCCATTATATAAATCAAATTAAAATCAAGAAAGGCCACTGGTTTCTCTCTTCAGATCTTGAAATTTAAATTACTGTAATTCTAACAATTTCATTTGGTTGTCCTATTCCTTTTGCTCCTGGAAAAAATATTTGATTCCTGACAATTGAGAAGAAACCCCCTCCCAAAATACTTGAAGGAAAAGATAAAACTGTATGGGTATTCTCAGTTCAGTCAGAGAGAAAGGAGAGTTTCTAACCAGGCTGAATCTAAAACTGGTCTGAATCTAAAATATGATTATACATTCTGTACTAATTCTCAGTGTTTTTCAAAAACATCTGATAGAATTGCTAACATACACAGAACCAATCATGGGAGTCCTTTGACATTTCTGCTGCATCCTGTCACAACTTCTGCTACCATCTGAGAATTTACAGGGCCATCGATAAATTAACAAGTCCCCCAGCTTTCCTCAGTTTACGTAACTGAGACTTTTTCTGATGGGCTTTTGATTTGTTCACGTCAAAGGAGAAATAAAGGTAGAATAATCCTGTTAGACCACTCCTGCTGAGAAAAGAAAGTGAAAACAATGGACACCACTTTCTTAGTGAAACCCAGAGCTCTCAGTAAGGTTACATACATGGTGATAAACATGCACAGCAAAAGAAATCTTCCATGTATTTGAACAAAAGTGAACAATTAACTCTCACAAAGTGAATTAACAAATCGAGTAGGTCAGATGCGCTATGATTCCATTGTTTCTAAGAAATTGCTATTTCATTAGCCACTCTTATTTAATTTTTCTAGATTTTTTAAAAAGTGCTAGTTCAGTTCTTTGTGTTGAAGTATTCTACATCTTATGCAAGAATGTAATTACCTTGACCAATAAAGATTAATCATAGCCCAAACATCCTCTGGAGCATTTGTAAACTTCTTTCACATACTGCTTTCCACAACTTTCTCTTAGCTTCACATACTTTTGCTTCCTCTGAAGACATTTCCATTCCTGCAAGAGCTGCTGCTTAATTAGAGAGTAAAAATAATAATAGGCATCTTTGCAACATTTTACATGCATTTTACAATAATATCTAGTGCAACGCAATTACTTAAATTATTTGAGTAATTCTTGGGCTCACAGTCAACATTTTAGAGCTAGAAAGGTATCTATGCCAATCTTTGTTCAATAATATAACACCAGAATTAATTTTCTTAATTCATCAGTATCAGATTTGTGAAACTTGAGTAACAAACAAATTGTACAAGCATTTATCATTTGAGATGAAACAAGAAAACATTAGAGCAGGTACTAAATATTTGTGTGATTCTGAATATGAGATTAGTTTAAGGAGGAATTACAGTACCTCTGCTGGCAGTTAAAAAAACAGTTGTAAAATAATCAATGAAAACTCAAATGTAACGTCAGTAGATGGCAGTCTTTGTCTATAAAAATACTTGCAAGGTGGAAAATAAAATAATGAAACTTGTTGAACTAAAAGCAGCTGTTAATTACAGGAACTGAAAGCCACTGTGGAAGTGCTTTTCACCAAAAATAAAAAAGAAATAATAAATGTACAATGTTATTATACTCTAGGAACAATGCATTATAGTTTTGGTTCACAACTCCCACATATTTATGTTAATTATTTTCTTTTTCTGAGAGTACATTACTAGATACAGTGTGTTAGTCCTAGAATTATTTTAGTAATTTTAAAAATTCATCAGCAGTAAGTACGGGTAGAATCTAGACAGAGGAAATATTTTGATCACATTAGCTTTTTTATTTTGTGTAAACTGCATGCCTCATTTTTCTTAGTTACAATACAATGCTGGGCAGAACTCAGCAGAGAAACTTGTTAAATATGTACAAAAATATACATGTGAATGTCTGGTATTAACAACAATTGCTGAAGTCGCTATAAGGTGCCAAAGTTTTCTGAACCCAAATTCATAAGCAAATAGACTCTGCTACTGTAAGTAAAATGATCAGTTTAGTCCTATTAAATAGTTGAATGAGGTTGATTGTGTCACGGTTGTGCCTAAGAACAGTGTGCTGTGTATCACAGATTTCCAGAATTGTAGCCTGGCTGGGCTTGGAAGGGAGGTCACCTGAGTCAACCCTCCAGCTCAAGTAGCATCAACCTTGGGCAGACTGTCCATGTCCAGACAGCTTTGGAACATCACCACGGAAGAAGCCTATGCAACATTTCAGTTGTTTTCCCTCAGTAAAAAAAGTAACAGTAAAAAAATTGTTTTCTGGTATTCAGAGGGAGCCTCCAGCGTTTCAGTTTGTGCCCATGTCTTCTGGTCCTGTCGTAGGGCACCACTGGAAACAACTTGGTTCTGTTCACTTTATACCCTCCATTCAGGTATTTATAGACTCCCCTGAGCTTTCCTTCAATATAAACTTCAAATTAACATTTTCTTGAAGTATGAAATAGATAAGTCATTAAAATCTACCTTGAATAAGAAGCAAACCAAACACAATAGCTGTTTATTAGGGATCCACAGCTGGCTTTTACAACCACACAAGTTTATTGACTGGAGTATCTCTCTTATGAGGAAAGGCTGAGGCAATGGGCGTGGTCAGGCTCAAGAGGAGAAAACTCAGAGGGGACCTGTTGACAGAACCTCATCAATGTCTCTAAGTGTCAGCAGGGAGCATGTCAGAGGATGGAACCAAGCCAAGTTCTTGTCAGGGGGCCAAGCAATAGCAGAAGAGACAATGGAAAGAAACTGATGCACAGGAAGTTCCACTTGAATGTGAGGAAGAACTTCTTTACTGTGTGGCTGGCTGTGCTCTCAGATTGCCCAGAGAGGTTGTGGAGTGTCCCTCACTGGTGATAGTCAAGAACTGGCCAGATACAATCCTGTGCCATGTGCTCTGGAGTGACCCTGCTGGAGCAAGGGTGCTGGACCTGATGACCCCGTTTCCCTCCCAGCCTGACCCGTTCTGTGATGCTGTGGTTCTGCAGCTACCACCACTACAGCACAACAATTTTAGTGTATTATATAGTGAAACTATAGTAATTACTATAGTAATTAATAAGAAATTGCATTTTATTACAGTAGTATATTTAGAAACCATATTGTACCAGAAATGAGTGCTATGCTAGAAGAAAAAAAGTATTTTGCTCATAATAGTCAAATTAATTACTTCATCAATTAAAAATTTTGAACAGTTTGATTCCAGTACTAAAATACAGTTTTCTTCTTTAATGGCATGCCACCCTCATATGGGGGGCATGTATCCCATATGCAAAACATTATCTATCACAAAACTGGAACCATGCATGACAAGGTATTGTTTTTCCTCTTTTTCTTGTGCACATGAGAGAAAAGGGATACCCACAACCAATTGTACATTCTTTCTGGCTTGAAATGCACAGAAAACTATCCAAAACAGGAGAGAGAAAATGGGATTCAGAACTTCTTTATGTGAATATTTATCGTCATTGCACAAAGTCCTAAAGACTGACAGAAAGTGTCTTTAGTGTGGCAGAGTTGTCTTTGGTGAGGCAGAGTGTGGGGTACCTTTTAATCAGGCAGAAAGAGAATGAGCCCTACTTGTGTAATTTGGACAAATGTTGAGACTGTAACACTTCAAACATAGCACACCTCCAAACACACTGTGGCCCAGTGTATCTTCAGCTCCACTGAGGATATGTAACAGTGGTTTCCACGGTGGCCTGTTCAACACTTTCTTTTAAATATCCAGATTTCAGAGTAAATAATTTTGCTCTAACAGAACATCAAAGCAAAATATGGTGTAAACTGTTTCTCTGTGCCACTGGCAATCAGGAAGAAGTAGGACAGTAATGTGGGTGCTATCTGATGGCAAAAGAGTGGAAAGTGAAAGAAGGCAGTTGTGTCAGTCAGCAGACATTACTATTCAAAAGATTCTGAGTTTATTTTTTTAGGAGCATGTACATAGACAATAGTGACATGTGCACTGCTAATCTGGATAGATACCTCTCACTACACCTGTATGCATTGTATGTTTAATTCAGAATCCTTTTTAAAGCAACCAAGTGAAAATAATTAAAATTAAATTATAAATATTGAACGAATGTTATTTTAAGAAATGTTAATTATTAAAATGAAGAGCAAAAACAAGTGGACAAGAAGAGGAAAAGTTCTTCTCAATCTGGCTTCCTCTGAGGCCATAATTTTTCCAGCTACCTTCTGAAGTTTTATTGCTCATCCAAAAGTGCAAAAGTAGGAGTAGTAATGCTGAGGCCAATTCAAACCATGACCTGCCAATACAATGTTAAAAACTTCAGCCCACTTCTAAACTGAGTCATAGAAGCACGGAATGGTTTGGGTTGGAAGGGACTTTTATCATCTAGTTCTGAATGATTAGTCACTTTCAATATAATTACAACCTCAACAACATAATTTAACAAAATTTTGTTGTGAAAATAAACTCGGTGAGGTAAGCTGGGAAGATTGTAAGGCTAACTTATGCTTCTGCGTAGAGTTTCTTTCAATCTCCATCAAAAGCACTTGAATTTTCAAGTGAATTGTGACCCCAGTTCCAATTAAGTCTTCTTCTAAATGAAAACCATGGTGCATCTGCGTTCTTAACAGCTAGAAAAGCATGCCATTATATTTTAGTTGAATCAAAGTCACAATATTTCTTCAAAAGATGCAACTTGTTCAGGTTCCTTTTATTAAGGCAAAAGAGATTATCTTTTTTTTTTTTTTCCCAGATGGTGAAACACACAAATCACAACATATTCTGGAAAAAGCACAGTAGTCTTGATTGCAAACATTCTCATTAAAACAACTGTCTGGCTGAGGGCCTTTATTTAGAAGGGAAAATTTACTTAACAGAGGCAATGTCTGTTGCTAGCAAGCAATGACTCTTTTACAGTTGAATTACATGTGGTTGCAAACATCATAACACTAGGAAACAAATAATTTTAATATGCTTTTAATATAATCAAGATAGTAAAGACCTTCTTAACATAATCTGGTTTAAGAATATTTACATTTGAGTGATTTCTAATTGTACATTAATGACAAATAATTACTGTAAGGAAAACAGTATGTCCATGTACTCAGCATTCCTGCAGTTTTAGTTCTAAATCAGGAATCTATAATCCTGAAAAATAAGATAGAGTATTAGCTGTTGATATGACTCTAAGTTGATATAAGACTTGAAAATTATGGCAGAATAAAATACATTAGAAAACATATTGGTCTACATTTTTACATCTCTCCAAATAGTTGCAGGCATTGAAATGAAATCTTGAAGTTGCACTCGGTTTCAGAGTGAGCTTTTTTATCTTTGTGAGATTAGGGAATTACATTCAGGATGTCAGTTTACTTCTCAGCATTCTTTTGACATGTAGTTGACTCAGTTCTTTCTTAGACTTACTTGTCATCATCAGTACTTTCCAAATTGTTTACAAACTTGGGATATTTTCCATTTCTTGCTGCCTGAAACACCTCTGTGCTCTCTGTTCTGGGAACTGAATACCTACAGCTTCTGTTCACTTCGTATGAAGGTAAGTGTAATTAATATATCTAAGTGTATTTAACACATCTGGGGAAAGTTTGTGGGTGGAAATCTAAGCTGATTACACAGTTAAAGGCTTTCTGTGACAACTTCTGAACAAAAATATCATGGTCTATTTAGATAAAAATGAACTAATTTACATATAGATCATGATCAAAAGCATTAAATAAATACATACCTCCTTAGCGGAAATCCACTGATCTCCTTCCATTACGTGGCTGAAAGACAAATATTCAGTAAGTTATATATTCTGTAAAACTGACAGGATTTAGTAACAAAGCTCTAAACAACTTGGTGTATATAGAAATTAGTGAATTTCTCAGTAGTATCGTTATAATTGTTGTCAAAGACATACCTAAGATAAGTTATTGTGTAATCTGTATCTACCTCTGGAGGAGAATTACATACTAAAATTTACTGCATATTGATTTGAAGAATGAATTTTCCATCTTGTATGATTTTATATAGCGGAGAAAGCCATAAGAAGTCACTTCAAGAGTGACTTCACTTATTCTTTTTGCATTTTCTTAAAATGTGTTTTCTGACTGTTATAATTATTACATTATAAGTGCTTGTTGCTATTTACAAACAAATACATGACACCCTCAATGATTTTCTTTTTAGACTGTATTCTTTGATATAAGCAAGGACTTTCTCTCCTTTCACTGCGGCGTCTTACAGGGACTAAAGCTGATAAAAAATTTCTTCCTGGACTTAAAAAGGATTTGTCTTTTACTCTGGAAGCATGAATGCACCAATGTTAATATTACCCATAACTTCGGCCAGTCATAACAATTCTAAGGATCCAAGCCTGATACATAAGAAATGTAACTATACAAATCTGTGGTGTTTTCATTTGAATTATAGAATAATTTAGTTTGAAAAAAGACCTTTAAGATCATCAAATACAGCCCTAGCCAGACTTTTATTTAAAGCCATCAGCCTCTTTCTTATTTAAGTAGAAATACTAACCAAAATCAAGAGAACTATTCAAACTTCTGACATGCCACCTTCTCAATTTTGCTAAAGTGAAGTAAAAAGGCTCTATGGTGTACAAGATGAACATAGTGGAGTCAGTCTCATGAGAATTTCTGTATCTAGTTTCATACCTTACTGGTCAAAACAGAAGGAAAATGGTAAAGTCAGACCTAGCACAGTGTGTAAGCATGGGATCATATTTATATCATGTGCAAACATACCCTGTTGAACAATGCTTTACAAAGATTTTCCAAGATGCCATATTTTCTAGAACTTTCTCTGACAAATAGATATGAAATAACCAATGACTTCTTAAGGCATAGAATGGTATCATATACACACAAACCTAGGAATATGCTTTTTAAAAAATTCCTACAATTTTAATACAAGGAAATGTCAGGAGTGGACCTGGAGATGTACTGTAGGGTGGAATGGTCTAACTGAAAAAAGTATCCTTAATCACAGTAATTCCTTCTATAATTTGGTTATTTCTATCCTTTTTTTTTTTTAACTTCCACCACGTAACAAAAAGAAAAAAATATATATACCCTGTAGAAGAAGTAGCCTCTGCTTTGAATCCCTCCAGGTCCTTGGAGTTCTTCCTGAAGAAAAAAATATTTTAAATTATATCTACAGCTGTAAATTAGTACATACAGAGAGGTTATTTATGTATATATAAAAAATATTTCTTCAGTGCTACATGCAGTCTTACTCCTTAAATGCTTTATGTGCATTTCTCCATGTCAGTAACACAAAGTTTATGTTGTCATATAGAAATAGAAGAGAACCTATGAATGGAGCCAAATTCCACTTGAAGATTTAGGTCAGGTGAGATTGCTTTTGAGTGGTACTAGGAATGATGAACAGCCTTTGCCTCTGATTTTCCAGGGTTCATTACCCAGGCACAACAAGAATGTCTTCATGATAGCCATCTCTGCAGACAGAGTTGCTTTTTGCATCTTGCAGGAGGACAAAAATTACAAAGTTTAAATATCAGAAATACTTGGGCTTCTCCCAGGAATGAGATGCCAGACTGTTCCCAAAGATGTACCATAGCCATGCCTCTCACAATAACACCCAAAGAGCAGTACTTGGGATAGTCTATCTTGCCCATACTGCACTCAGGGTGAAACAGCTGCCTAGTGATCATATAGCAAGGAGGCTAACAAATGATGAAGAAAATAGAAATTCTATTTAAATGTAACAAGTACAAAGCATGAGGTATCCAGTTGCTTTAATGAGACCTTCATGATTAGAGAACACATAAGCTTAATCACAGTGTTTTATTTGCTTCTGTTGGTATCAGAGAGGAGTGATATGTCTGTCCTGCAGGTGGGGAGACAAGAAATTTGAGAAATAAAATAGTCTCAATATTATGCTTACCAGAACATTAAAATGAAGAGGGCTTTTATTTAGCAATGGGGGTATTTCTCAACTAAAAATTGGGGTGCTGTGATCTCTTGGGTAAATATCAGAAGGTGAAGTGTCATAGAAAGGAATCACATCTGCTCTCTTCTAATGCTGTGACAATTGTGTAAAACAGGATGACTCCCATCATTTCCAAACTACAGAAGCAGGTTCAATCCAGGGAAGCTTTCAAAGGAAGTAGAGTTTTAACTATACATTATTTTAGAGAACTGATTTTAATTCTGACTTCAGTTCATCACATATAGCATTGTACTCAATTTCTTACTGTACACAGAACATCTGTATGATTTTTATTTCTATTGTCCTTCTCATGCTAGCATTATCTGCATTTGAAACATCCATCTTGGATTTATAATCTGATCACTACTATAATTTTTTATATTTCAAAAGGGTAAAAATTTTTCTGTACATTGCTATTTGAGTCTTATGGTATTCATATGTAATATTTTCTACTTCTTCTATTCAATGTGTGAAAAAAACTGAAAACAGGAACAAAATAGGCAGCTGTTGCAAGATTAAGAAATTCATCCAGAACAGAAAAGTAGTCAAGAGTAAAACTATGAGTGAAAAATTGTGATTTATGTTAATGTCATTTTCCTCTTACAACCATACCCTCCTTAAGGATTACGTGTTCTTGTTGAAGTTCATACCAGAAGTTTGGTATTATGTAAACAGCTGAAGCGAACAATCTGCAATTTTTGTAACACCTGCCTTCTAAATTACTAAGGGTTTGCAGATGTTAAAACTGCCGTAATAAATACACAAGTTTGTTCACAAACCTGCATGTATATATGTATACAGAAATAAATGTATTAATGAAGATGTATGATTACTTAGAGTTTTATTTTAATGCCTGCCCTTTAGAAGACATTTTGCCCAGTCTCTTATATTGACTAGCCCAAATAATGCTTGAGTCTTCTTTCTTGGATCATATCCTATCAGGCAGGCTGTAGCTCAAGAGGAATCAAAGCCGTGAAAAAATCTGGTGCTGTTTCAAATTGGAGAGAAAAAATGAATTTAATAGAGCATGTTTTCTCCTTCACCCATCCACCTTTTCAGTTCCTTATCTAGTCAGGGAGAGAGGTGGGTGTGTTTATTTACAGCAGGTTCTGTTTTTCTTCCCAATATGAGGAAGAAAAAAGATCAGCAACAAGATGATCCTTCCTGAAGCACATTGTGTGACATCGAGATTTGGGTAGTCCAACCAAAACATATAAGCAGAAAGGTCTACAAGGGCATGTTTAGAAAAGCTAATGAATCACAAAGCATAAGAACATAAGCATGCAGATTTTCAGTTTACATACGTCCAGTTTGTATCTCTTCAGTCTTCTCTCATTAAGGTGAGGAACGAGTTGCAGTAAAGGATGCAGGACAGATGACTGAGAGGACACGAACACACATACATGAGCAACAGTGAAATTTGGTCCTTATGATGCAAAAAAAATGTCTCTTTCTGCAATATTGTCTCGTGGACCAAGCATGGACCAATAAAGGACTGAAGACTTGAGAAACTTATTAATTGAAAACTTTTTTTTTTATGTTTTGACTTGACAACAAACAGAAATCAACATTTATATTTACACTACACAGAGTGATGGAGGGAAAAGCTATGTATCCTCACCTTTACTAATTGAAAGTTCAGAACCCTTTACAGACTCCTGGAATTACTCAGACTTTGTTCAGTCTCTATGAGTGGTACTGAGAATATTTCCACACAGTGTTCCTACTAACACTTCTAGAATTTTCTACAATGGAAGTTAGCAGCTTCAACCCCTGTTGTACTGAGAAGTTTATTTTACTTCAAAATAGATGGCAACAAAAACCCCTGTATTTTTTGCTACATGACAGTGTACAGTAGAAATCCATTCTCAAGAGACATTTGTAACCATTACACTGGTCATTCTATCTAAGCTCTAATAATGAAATTCCTTTTGTTCAACAAGACTTTAAGCTTGCAGACAGCCTAATTATGCACAGTGGCACTGTGTGCAAAGTACTCACCTTGAAAAAACACAGCTATGTGGGATTTTGGAGAGAGGTCCTCAGGAAGAAATAAATTATAAAAAAACCTGTGTTCCATTAGCCAATTTAAACCTTAAACTCATATAAATGTATTTTTTTAAAAAAATGCATTTTTACTACAATACTTCTGAGAATTGTAATATATGGAGTAACTAGAGTTACCAAAGTGTTATTGGACTTAATAGGCAAAAATAATTTGTTTCTTTGTAGCCAATTTTGTGCTAGTTGCCTAAGGTAAGCAATATGGGATCATAATACCTAAAAAATGTAGAAATCTGAGGTGATTGAAGTAGTTATTGAACATCCCAGCTGTCCACTTGGGCTGTGTCTTGCAGCCAGTGGAGAGAGCTTAAAAATCTGAGGAATGATGGACCTCACCTAAGTATCTCTGAAAATGGCTAGAAAATTGTCATCTTAACAGCGAAACCAAAAGTGAGAGAATGGTAATCTCTGGGAGCAGCAGCAAAGGTATTCAGGATGGTGGCGCAGTGGAATGCAGTAAACTTTTGAGCAGGAGCAGCAACAGAAATAGCTTTTTTCACTGTGTCTTAATTACCATTAAAGCATCCAAAGCAGCTGTAGCATGAAAACATTGACACCAATATAAGCAATGTCATTTTCTAGGAAATACACCACATATTTCTGGAAAAATGTAAAGAACAAGGCAGAAATGGGCATTGGCATGTAAGAATGATTGGTAAGAAACAAGAAAATATGAATATGTTTAACTCTCTCAAAATCTTATGGCCCATAGATGCACACAGATAACAGAATATGTTTGCACTTCGGAAGTGAGAATGGATCATGTACTTGGCTTGTTGGTTTATGAGAATACTTTTTGAGCAACAATTCTTGGCCATGGTTTAAACTATATTTTTCATTCAAAATATAATCCAAAGTTCAAGTGAGACTTAAATACTATTTTGCCTCTATATATTTATGACATGTGCAAATTAATATAGTTTAATTAAAAATTAATAAAAATGCTTTCAAGAGTATGTAATAGTTATGGTCATGTTCTCAGGTCCTGTAAGTGCACATTGTATCACTGAATGTGCTATGTTCCAATACCTGAAAAAAGTATTTGATGTCATTCTTAAAATTTAAAACTGCAAGATTAAGATTCACTTGGAATTCCATGAATGATTTATTGAGTTTGTTAGATTTTTTTCCCACATCTGTACAGTACTGATCATTCTCTCCTATATTATTAAAACACCTTCTGTACTGTAAACATGCAACTCCCAGCCCTGAGCTTGCTATACAGCTGGAGAGACTACTGCAAAAAGGAATATTGCCTTGGTTTTGTATGCAAGCACACATGTACTCACTCATAAGGAGGTGCTATGCCACTTACCATGACGTCTGAGTTGCCCGAGTCATGAGTCTTAGAATAATGAAATAAGAACTGTTCAAAAAAATTAAAAGTGGGGTTTTACTACAAAGCAGGGCAAGAGTTCCATGATTTTCTTGCCTTTTTTTAGTGATTGTAGGACATATATAGACATCTTACCCTTTTGGTGTTGTCTTTCTCATCTAAATCCTGTGGGAATAATAGTTGGTAAAAAGACTTTTATTCATTAAAATAAAAAGAACGATGGATAATTTTGATTAAATACATAATCTTTTCAGCACTAGGTTGAAATATCCTTCTTCCTTGGCGGGTGTATTATATGTCTTTGCATATCAATCTAACTAATCATTTCAAACTCTATAGAGAGCATTGATTACTCTGCTCTAGAAGAGTTAGATGTGTTTAGGAGATGTTCCCTTGTTCATCCCCAGACTCTCCTGAGTACATTTCTTCATTGGGTAAATTTCTTTGTCTGTTGAGAATTCATAGTTTTTCTAATCTAGAGCAATAAAAACACCTAACACCTTGTACTCAACCTGGAGATAATTTTCCAAACATTGATGTATTCCTGTTGTCTTTACAAGATGTTACATTCTGGCACATGGCATTTCAGAGTAAAAACTGATAGAAGTAATTCCAGTGCTGAATGACACTTTGCATACTGGGTCCTCAGAATTCATTGTAGACAATGGCACAGTGAGAGATCAGGCTTCAAAAATGCTAAGCAGTCTAGGTAAGCAATGCTAACACACACAAAGCGTGTGTTACCTGTGGTTTCTGGAGAAATCCCATGATCAAAAAACAAAGTTCTTCCAGTGTACTGGATACCTAATGCAAAGAAAACGGGAACTTATGTATCACACTTCCAATTCTACTATATATAACAAACAGTATCCAAAGAGTAGAGTAACCTCTGTCTGACTCACCTGAGGCTGAGAATCTGTGGACAGGTAAGCAGAACATGCATCATCTATCTGTAAGGGTTCACACAGGTTTTTTAGGAAGTCAGATTAATAAAAACAAGTGAAATATGCATATTTTCAGAAAAAGCTAAATGCAGCTAATGGCATGGGAAGCTTGCCTACTGTAAGGCATCCTTATAGGTCCATTCATTAAATACCTTGCATTCAAAGGGGGAAAGTGCCTTAACCATGAAAGAAAAGAAAACAACAGCAACAAACTTATACTTGCTTGACCTGAACAAACATATACATCTGTGACATACCCCTCTTAAGCGCAAACTTCTCAGACTAAGACATATTTTAAGTTATGATTGTAAGCATCTGGGGCCTGAACTATGAACTTGAATCTCTTCTGCAATGTCTTTGAATTATACACAACTGTGAAGAAAGTGACAAAACTAAGGCAAAGGATTCAAGGATCAATCCTCAAACACAACTCTTTCAATTGGATTACAGCATCCCTACAAGCATATGGCACATGCATCCCTTGAGTAATTATGATATGAGCTGGCACATCTTATGCACACCACTCAATTTGTGCCAGAAATTTCCAAAACACTGTGTGAAACACCACTACTATTTGTCTTCAGCAGTCTTTTCAAAGCTCTTTTCATTCAGTGCTGTCATGATCTTTTCTTGGAAGAAGTACCAAACAAGTGCTTCCTACCCATCCTCTCCCTGCGGTTCATAACCTTGTATCAATTATATCCTCCTGTCCCCTTTCCAAGATGAAAGAATAATGTAATACTGACTAATTTTTAGTAGAGTTATTAATAGGGGAGGAATAAGAAATTGAATAAAAGGTATTTGAGTTCAGGGAACTAATATTACCAGCACTGAAAGCTCAGAGTATTCTGTAAGGAAAAGTCCCCAGCACTGCAACTGAAGTTGCACAGTTTAATAATGATGACAAAAAGCAACTTACAATTTTTTTAAGTAACTTCAAAGTTGTATCATAGTGACCTCCATCAGTACATGCTATTTTTTTTCCATGTAATATTTGGTAGTGTTAGATAAAAAAAAAATCTTTGCCACTCAAGTTGTTCACAGGCTGCATAAAAAACATAGTGGCTTTTGGGGTTTTTTTTGATAGAGCAGGCAATGCAATTGTTCTTGAATTTTTTTTATAGAAAGAAAGCACTAAGCAACATGCATTAGCAAAGAAAACATTAAAGGAAAAAAGAAATTAAAAAAAATAATGCTTATCTGAGCACTTCAGAGCAGGAGATGATTCATTTCTCCAGAGACAATCTATGAGAAAGCATTAGCAGACATAGTGGAAAAACTAATAGCTAAAACTAATAACAGGATTCCCTTTTCAAATAGGTTTTGTTGCTAACACATCCTCTCTGTTCACTTTTTCCTTCATCTTGCACGTGTTTGAGTGTATTAGTTCAGCTTCACTAGTTTCAGGGTAAGAAAGTGTAGAGGAAAAAGTCAGCAATGAATGAAATAAAATCAAGCTGAAGTAATTTTGGAAGCTTGTGTTAAAAAAAGGGCTGTTTCCTCTTGGGGACTGTTTGGGCTTGGTTTTTATTTGTTTATTTACTTGACACAGGGATCTACTGTAATTCAGTAGCAGAACAAGCCAAATACTGCTTTGTGTTCAACACAATGGTATCTTTCAGCTAAAACCTTCACAGACAAAGCAAGGGCTGAGGAAAAGCCACAATTTCTGTTAAGTACTTTTTAAAAAATTTGTATTTTCTGTCTTTTATGCTTCTTCTCCAAAATTTTCTTTCCTGTCTCAGAAATGCGGCCTGAGGGTAGAAGATTGCAAGTTGCTTGGGGTTGCTTAATTAACATAAAGAAACAAAAGGAAGTAAGAGACAAGTAATGAAACAAAATACTTAGTTACAAAGTTCTCAAATTTATAAACCCAAAGCCATTCCTGGAACATACTAGTTTTATTTAGAGGCAGGGTTTCTCATCAGTGATCTACTAGTAAAGTAGCAAAGAGGGAAGAATTATTACTTACTTGCACATTATGAAACCCCAGTGACCTAGTATGAGTGAGTAATTATGCTGATTTAGGGTATGTGACTGTATATCTAATTCTCTTTCTTTAGACCCTTTCCAGTCCAGCATAATCCTAGTTCTAGTAGTAAGTTTTATATTGCTTCTGTTACAAAATCAAAAAAAAAAATGAGTATCTTATGCATACCATTTTCTTCATTGAAATCTACAGGACCTTTATCTTCGCTTCCAGGTACCACAAGGACAAATCTTACAGCTAGCAAATCTTATCAAGACATGCAGAAATGTATAAAATAGCTTTTTTAATACAGAATGTAAATAACTAATTTTCAAAAACCCCTTATAGTTATCAGGATCTTACATCCCAAGAGACCATTTTTTTCCTGGGTGATAAGCATCACTAGGAACATTCAAGTGCCAGTCTAGAATAGGTTAGGTTTTGAGTCACCATGTCCAATAGGAGCTGTGGGGAGATGACAGTCTCCTATAATTGTCCCAATCAGAAGAAATTTACTCTCTGTATCTGCCCCCTTGATGAGTCACTTATTTTCCAATGTTATCAAAAGCTACTAAATTAAATGTCAACACAACAGTTGACAGTTGCAGCAACACCAGGGCATGCAAGTTGCAGGATAAACCCTCTCCACATATTATGCCCTGCCACTCCATCTGTTCCAAAAGGGCAGGGAAGAGCCTGTGTTAACACATGCGTCACACTCAACAAACTTTCATTTCAGAGACGACAGTGGAAGTTATGATACCATCAGTAGCCAAATGTTAGAGGGGCTAATTGACACAGTACATTGTCCTTTACCTAGTACATTGAGAGGCTAGGATAGGATTGAACAGTGTCCCAACCTTGTGTGCAGAACAGAGGATGCAAGAAGATTGGATGAGTTGAAACAATTCCTGAGTATCACGTACAGACTATAAAGCTACCAGATGTGAGGGACACTGTGATGCTTCCAGGGACAGTGTCTGCCTGGTCATTGACAGTTATCAAATATAGCTCTCCATTGAGACAAGACAGTCTCCTCTCAGAATGACATCTCAGCACTTAGTACCAACATCCTCCTGAAGCAACTGTTCAGAATACCTGGAAAAATAAATATTTCACCTCTTTGCTGATGCCAGGATAGGAGACATACAGGAAGACGTAGTGGAAGAAAATACAGCTGAACTCCGTGCAAGAGAAAGACTGGATAGAGAGGTGGGACTGTAGCAAGCATGGGCAGAGAAGAAATGTGAGGATACCACATGGCAGATGATGCTTACCTCTTTCAACAGCTGCATATCCTCATCTGATGTGAGTGCTTGGGATGGCATTGGTGCACCTGGAAGCACAAACTGTGCTTAGCAATGCTGTACAGCAAAGGTCATTTGTGTGTCCCACATCAGATGTACCTAGCACAATTATTAACTGCAGAGGCCGAGAGCTGCTTGGCCCAAGGAAGTCTGTGACCTGGGTGCTCTGTGGCTTTTGCCTGCTCTATTTCAGCAACACAACAGGATGCTTTTTCACAATTCACAGCAGATATGGGCATTCACATAATAACAATAAACTGTGTGGAGGTTACTTAGGCCTCACTGAGACCTACTCAGAAAATCACATTCCAGTTCCTACTACCTTGAGCTTTCTGAGAGCTCTGCTCACCTCCAGTGCATGCACTGTGAGTTGAAGATCTGGACTCTACTTCTTGCCTTCTTGTATGCTACAGCTGCAGAATTGAACATGCACTACGTAATGTACGATTGCATATAAATAGTGCCCATGATATGAACATGTTTTGACAAGGTGATAGACAGTTCATCTGTAACTGGATTCGTTTCCTCTGTCTTGAATATACGATGTGGAAAAGCTTGTCCCTTAGTACATTAAATGTGTTCTTAATTGCATAAAAATGCAGTGAAGCTGTGCTTAACTTGGGGGATCTCCTTTCTCTATCTCTACCCACCCAGGCTGTAGACATGGAAGTCACTGTCCCAGTATCCCTTCCAGCTCAATGTCCAGAATGTCCCTCTTACCACATTGCTATTTTACCTGGCAGTGTATTTCTGATAGCAGTGTACTGTTAGAGTCTCTGTAAATAACAGAAATGATCATCACCAAATTGTGAGTCTGTCACACACCACGCAGTGATGTCAGTGAGGGGATGTGCTGTAACTCCCATGAGAGGAAAACTGGTGCTGGACCTCTAGACCTAGCTAGAGTGTCCAGGGAGCAGGGAATAAATGCCATCATGTTATTTGTTTTACATTTACCCCTGATAACAATAATCACAACAGTAGTTAGTTCCAGACATTAATGGAATGGGATGAATTTCAAAACCACATTTTTGTACTGGCACAGACTTGAGGCAACCAATTTTTATGGATGCTTGCTTTGCCCCAAGAAAGAATTAGAGGGGATCTTAATTTCACACTATATAGAAATGTTATTTTTAAAAAAATCTCTGAGTTGTTCACATAACAAGGAAACTGATTTCCAATTATTTGTTTCATTTCAAAGAAAAATGCCAAATAAATTAAAGGTGCTACAGTTGTCTTACGTTGTCTTCTGCTCTTAAATTAGTGTATTCAAACTGGAGCACTAGCTGAGATTAGTATCCTAGTTAAAAGAGTGGGACAGGGCAATCTTTTCAAATTAGCACACCTTCCCCATCAGAGCATTGCCTGCCTATCTCTGAACACCAATTCTGCAATTGACTGGCTCCCAAGGATTTTCAGGGAGACCTAAAGAAATTCATTTGCATGCATTAGTAAACCTTAGGGCAACAAGCAGGAAAGCCTGAGTATTATAACTTTCTCCATTTTTTTGGCCTGTAGCATAAACTTCTGGACAGAGAAGATAAACTATTTCCCACTCCTCACTTTCCTTTACCCTACTCTACATATTCAGAAATTTTTATTTCATAAGAAATCCCATCTATTTTGTGAACCTAGGACTGTGTTCCTCCAAAGACTGAACAGTGTTCCTTCATCACCCCATTCAGAACAGGGCTGCAGTACCTACAGGACTTCATTCATTTCCACATCAGCACACACAGTGAAATATTAAGGTTTTTTTTCAATATACAGCACAAAACCATAGGGAGAATTGGGGGGGGGGGGGGGGAAAGAAGGCAAGAAAGAGAAGAGAAAGAAGAGAAGAGAAGAGAAGAGAAGAGAAGAGAAGAGAAGAGAAGAGAAGAGAAGAGAAGAGAAGAGAAGAGAAGAGAAGAGAAGAGAAGAAAAGAGAAGAGAAGCATGTGCTATTGAAGAAAAGAATCCTATTTAAAGGGAACACAGAGGAGGAAATCTTTCTACAAAATCAACATTGTCAACAGCACATTTGCTGTCCTATCCTTCAATTCTGCCATCTTTAAAAAATTCAGTTTATTTCAAGGCAGTAGAATGCCAGATGCGCAGCCTGGGACTCACATCTTCTTACATTTTCTCTTCCCTCCACTGCATCCCTAAACAAGCTCCTGCAATCATTTGTGTGAGAACAGTGAAATACTCTGTGCCACTGCCCTCCATTGTGCTCCTCTTCCTTCCCTCTGCTCTTCCACATCTTCCGAACTTCTTTTTAACATATTAAGTATGCTGCCATTAGATTTCTTTGGTTATTGATATTAAAAAAAAACAAAAAACAAAAAAACAAAAAACAAAAAAACAAAAAAACAAAAAACAAAAAACAACAAAGCAGGAAAAAAACCCTCACAACTAAAGCAAATCACACAAATGAAATACAAACAAAATAGAAATGGTCCTTGCACGGCGTTTTGTTACATTACTTTACAAGCTGTAAGCAGCTAATCTATCTGAGGTGGGAAAATAGAGTCGAAAAGAGAGTATGGTTTGTTAAACAGTCCGTTGGATGTTTCACAAGAGCCCCCTGCTACAAAAATAGCAACTTTCAGGATTCCTCACCTGATAAATATAGCGATATTTATAGGTTGGAATGAGTGACAGAGGGTCCTAATTTGTCCTGCAATTTTGTGACACATGTTGTCCCATGTCTTTTCTTACCTTTTAAAATCAGAGTAAATAATACTTAAAATTACATCTCTTTCAACAAAAGCCCTCGTTTCCCAAGGTGCTGGAGTGTTTTGCCAGGACAGGGTAACCCTGCCGGGACACGGGAAGAAGCCCCCAGACCCATCCCCGGAGCAGCGCCCAGGGGCTGCCCCGCAAGGCTGGCAGGCTGCGGGCACCCTGCTCCCCGATAATGGGCAGAGCTGGCGGCCAGGACGGGATTGCGAGCGGGACGAGCCTCACCTCTGCAAGCAGAAACGGAGGAAGCGAGGAGAAGGCAGAGGAGCAGCAGCGGGGAGCCGGGCAGCGCCGCGCCGTCCGCTGCCTGCCGCGGGCTGCGCCCGGGGGCGGCCGCGGCGGGCCGAGGGTGGCACAGGGGTCCCATGTCCGCCGAGCTCCCGCCGCCGCCGCTCTGCCAGCCGCTCTTCTGGGCATGGCCTCGCTCCCTGCCCCAACTTTTTAAATCCCCCCGACACGTGGCCCAGCCCCAGCCCGGCTCGGAGGGCTGCCCGCTCCCCCCGGGGCCGGCGCCGGGTGACTCAGCCCGCTCCGCCCCGCCGCTGCGCCGCTGGAGCCCGCGCCGTGCCGCGGGGTCCCTGCTCGGCACGGAGCCGAGGCGCTGGCCAGGCTCCACGCCCTTTAGCAAAGCCCCTCCTCAACAAAGAAAGCCGCGGCTAGTCCCCCGGAGCCCGGCGGGAGCCGCGGCGGCTGGCGCGGCAGGTAGCGCTCCCGCACTGCCCTGGGCGTTCCGAGCGATGAGACGGGGCGGCGAAGGGTGCTCAGACACCGACCCAGCCCGATGCGCGGGGGAGAAGAGGCGTGATTTAAAGCGGGTAAATCGAGCCTTCTAGCTGATTTGCCCCCAGCTGGCTGAACTTAGCAGTAAGCTTCGTGAAGCTTGCATGTGGGAGAAGCTGTCGGTGGCTCTGGGGAAGGGCACCCCTCTGTCTCTGCTGACTGGTCACTACATTTTCTGGAGACTCCCCGGCTTCAAAGGTGTGACTGCCTCCAGACTTTTCCTATGCCTTCAATACACACAATGCCACACCATGAAACAGAACTCAGCATATGGTAATATTTAGCTGTTAAAATCTTAATACTGTGCTTAGCAAGGTATTTTACTTATAATGCAGCTGCGGACCTTGGTCCAATTGTTATTTGTGCCTGTAGATAATGAAAGAATGACTGACAATCGATGACAGTCAAAAGTACACAGTCTCCAGATCTGTTAAGGCACTCGGGCAGTTTAGTCCAGCCATCTCTGAAGCTCAGCAAGGTCTGGCTTACCAGAGTGGTTACCCAAGTCTGCCGTTCCTCCTGCTGTCAGATCCAACAAGTGATGATCACCGCTGCCAAGAGTGAGCAAGATGCTCATGCTGGTGCTGACCTGTTCCTCACACCGAGCCCAGCAGCAAGGTCTGACTTGGAAGTGTGGCACATGTCTGACTGTCTCTGCTTTCTCCCATGTGCTCCAGGAAGGTCCTGCGCAGCTGAGGCGCTGCTCCGATGCTACAGAGATGGTTCCCGGATGGGAGATCCCAGTTTAGAGTCTATCTTTATGATTTGTTTTCCCTTCTTTTTACATTCATATTTTTTTCTCTTGGTTGCATTGTTTCCTAAGGAAATTAGTACATCACAGTCCAGCAATGAGGCAATAGCGCAATAGTAGAGGTTGTCATTTTCTGTAACAACTTGCAGTTCTTTTTTACCATTTCAGTGGGTTTTGACTGGGGGGCTAAATAGTATGTGGTGGGGTAAATCTGCCTGACAAGAGCACTTGTGGTTACTGTGAAACAAAGCAAAACTTTGATTTATAGCCATAGCATTGGTCTCTGCTCTTTTCCTTCACCTTTATCAGATGTATGTGAAAAAAGTGGGCTCTGCCACCCTGGATACTTTGATAGGCCATCAGAATTGCAAAAGCATTGCCAAGCAGCATGATAAGATGCTGTAAAATTCTTTTAGTAATAGAAGCATCTTCTCTCTCAGATTCAGTAGCAAAGCTTTCCTTTATATGTCTGTGGACAGAGCTAATCCCCGTGTCAATGGAGAGCCAGTTATCAGAGCAGCATATAAACTGAAGAAGCCTGTATTTTGCATATATGGTTGTATTTATAGCTACGTAATTAAAAGGGTTTTTTTTTTTAATAGTTTTAATTGAGGTATTGCATTGAGTTCTGGTTTTTCATTAATAAAAGCAGAACATATTTATTTGATAAAATGATCATAAATTCATCAGTCCTGAATGATATCTCCCCAATCTATCTTGACTCAGCTGCATGAATCAGTGTCCCAAGCTTTAGCCTAAGGAAGGATTTAATTTGTTATGCATTTTAATTATTACAGTCTTGTTAAATATTTAATAGATGGTGAAGTAAAATAAATTACAATCTATTATGATTAGAGTACAGGATACCTGTAAATATTCTGCACCTGTTGAATGGTGCAGAGTGTTTTAAGAATACTGAAGAAAAGATCTTGAATTAAACTAGTGTCAGGTGAAAGGTTTTTGATTAGCCCAGAAGCTGCATTTTTGCATAGTGTGTTTTAATACTGGAAACTGAAAAATTTTGCTGAGACCACTTGCACAAAAACATATCAGGAGATTTTGAAGATTATGGAAAAAAATTTCCAGGTAGAAAACTTCTGGTCCTCCAATTACCATTAAAAGAAAAAAATTGCATTTCCTGATACGTGGGTAAGGTAATCTGATTTGGGAATAGTTATAATCCTCCTTGTAATATATTAGAAAAAACAATATAACGTCTAACAAAAATGTATATTTGCACTAAGGTCAGACTATATATTATACCAAAATAATATTTCTACTGAAATTGCTGCAAATTTTGACAGAGCAACATCACCAAGCTTGAATCTGAGTTTATAGGAAGCTTGTATGGTTTATGACAGTCACCTTTATTCAAGGAACTCACCAAAATTCAAGTAAGCATTCTTGTAAACAGGAGAAAAAATACATCTTTCTTTATTGTATCTGGTTTTGTTTTGTTTAATAGCTTGATGAAATTAATGTTACACTATTGCGGGAACAAAACATATCCTCATTAAACGAATAGCTTAGAGGATGTTTTGGATGCTGTAATTAGCTTCTTTGAAATATTTATGCTCATTCTAATGTTGTTTGAATAAATGCTAATTATGGCTAGTGGAAAGGAAATCAAAGAGCTGAGTATGTGAAAACATCATCTTCCCTGTTTGTGCAAAGGCAGGGTCAGGAGGTATGTCACTGAATCCCCTTGCTGCATGCATGCACGTGCTGCCTCTGAAGAGGTCAATGCATGCTGGTTTTTCTATGACTTTAATTTAATAAAAATGGTGAGAAATCATTCTTCCTACATCTGAACACAAGCACTCTGAGTGCTTTTATCCATACTGCATTTTCTTCATCAATGTATTTCAAACTTACTGGAGAGTGCTTGAAATGGCTCGCTGTGTGCAAGCATGAGGATGCTTCTCACAACTTCAGATGGGTCCATTAATAGCTTGTTAGTCCTTCTGTACAATGGGCAAATTGCCTTTTTTATGTTCTAGAGAATTAAATTTTGTGTAAGAAAGTCTCAAAAACTAATTAATGGCTGCTCAGATACTGTTCTCCTTCAAGGTATTTTCTCCTTTTATTGGTAATAATGAATAGAGAGTTTGTGTCAGAACAGAAAAAGATCCATAAAGAAAAGTCACTGGAGTCTCAATTGAAGAATAAGCATCTCTAAATGAGCTTTTATTACAGTGTTGGCCTAACACAAAGAGACAATCAGTCAGTAGTAGTCTTTAGGGATGTCTCCCTACAAATAGAACGCAAACAACAAAACCCAAGTCATATTGGGCATGATAGACCCTGTATTTTCTCAAAAAATTCCTTTTATACTTTATCTAAGATGATGCCTCAGCTCTTCCTTTATGAATAAGTAAAACATAAATGACCCTCTAATGAACTAGATCTTGCCTGAACTACTGGAAATGAGGACAGAAAACCCAGCCACTGTGCTGAGAGACTCCACTAGGGAACAGTGATGGGACTGATTACAGCAAATGTTCAGAGCTCTCTTCAAGAGTTACAGAATATTTTGCATAAAAAATTCCTGGTGTAAAAGAGAGATGACTGAAACCTTTAATGACTAAAGAAAATCTGATGACAGTAACTAAATTCAGAAAAAACATGCTAATCTTTCAAAAATTATGACTACCTGTGAATACCCAGAATAAATGTGCAATTTTTATGGACTTGAGTTTGTTTTAAAAGTGGAACAGGTCATAAATGAATGAGAACAGGCCATAAACAGATGATAAACCTTTCTCCACCAAACTCACACCATTTTCCATATTTTCCACCAGCATTCATTATTTATTCTATACAAGCATGGGACTAGAAACAGAAGAGATTATTGTTTTATGAAGTCCTGATGATTGTAGAAAAAAAAAATTCTGTTCAAAAGAAAGGAATAATTATCTACTATAATTACTATGTAAGAAGTATAGTCGCACAATTTTTTTTTGAAAAAGGCTAATCTTCAAGATACTCTCATCTCAACTTTTCTCTCCTCAATATTGCTTTCAGAATCTAGAGGTTTTATTAACTGAAAAGACCTTAAGCAAGAAAATAGAGAGTGAAAGGAGATGAGTAACAACACTTAGAAAATGTCATTTTCCCTTCCACACTCCTGTGAGATGAGTTGGGCTTACAATGGGATCATTTATCTTGTAATGAGAGACAAACTCATATCATGACCTCACAATGGTTTTGTGTAATTTTTCCACAATATGCACATAAATCCAGCAGAAAGGAAGGAATCCTGAAAATTTGGTTTATAAAGTTCATATTTTGCCAAAAGTTTTGAATTGTCATTGGCTCCAGAAAAAAAAAATATAATCCAGGTCTAAATTTGGTACACTGTCTAAACTCTAGTACTTCACCAAAAGTTTCCTCTCAGCTTCCTAGTGAGGTACAACTAATGCCAGCTGCAGGAATTTCTTTGCATGGATGCAACATGTAAGCACTTGCTTGAGAGTTTGAAGGAAAAGACCAAAAGGAAATAATTTGGAAAAATTTGGACTAAAATCCTTTGAGTGTCTTCCAGTTTGAATCGTTCAGAGATTCTCTGCCAGACTGTGAAGCAATGGAATCCCAGTAGTCTGTTGTTTGTCCTGTTCATCTGCTCACTGTCTTCCTAAGACCAGAGCACTTGGCTCATGTCAGATTTACTTAGAAATTGTATTTATTAATAGAGCAGAAAATGAAGATAAATTCATAGATTTTGTTATGACTAAATAATCATAAACAAAACCCCAATTCTACCAATCCCCTCATTCTTATCCCAGCACCTCAGAGCTGCTCTTACAGTGGGTTAATCAGCAAGGCACCTTATTGTG